ATTGGCATGTTTCTTATTTGGTTTATAGCCTTTGAATATGAACAAGAGGACAACCACATATCGCATTCTCTGGTTGTGTGCGACCATAATTTCGTCCGATTTTGCATTAGTAGCAGCCTGTTTAGTGAAAGGAACTGCATGTTATATAAAGGTATGGCTCATGTTGTGTTGATAGGGATATTGATTGGGTTACTTCAAGTTGGTGGGTTGATGGTTGAGTACCTATAGGCCCATGTGGTGTTGGTCGTGGGTCTTGAACACAATGATTGAATGACGGCAAGATTGGCATAGTATCATGAGCTTATCATTCTAGTGGTTAGAGGGTGTCACAATGTATCATGAACCAGTAGTTGTATAACTCATATGGGTAGGACTTGATAGTCATTTTATGAAGACTCTTAGGTGTCATATCGTCAGTCTTATTGGTATGATTAGGTGTGGGAACATGTCATGGAGCCGGAAGGCTCAGTGACCAGCTGGTTGAGTTCATGTGGATTGTAACAATTTGTTTTATTTGATGTAATAGTTGTGCATCGAAGGTAACTTGCATTTGTGGGTCATTACTTGCTTGGGGGATATTATTAGGAGTTCACTAGAGATGGGTTTTGTATCTAAAACTTTGGGTCATGAGGTTTGTTGATAATGTCTCGAATGATTTGTCAAGTGGTTGTATGTAACGCTCACAGATTTCGGGCTAGTCAATTAAATAGAATAAGCTATAAAAATGACTTTTTGATAGAATGTTATTTAGGATAAATAACCTTAAACAAATTTATAGTGTATGTGACAAGGGTTACATATATATAAAGAATGTTGAAATCCGACTTCGTATGAAAAAATTATGCTTCTTCGAAGTTTCACGATTAAACTGACACGACTTTGCGTATCGTAAAAAATGAATTTTCGATAGATTACTTTTTAGCCTAAGTGATCTAAAAGAAAGTCGTAATAATCTTTAAACTGAGAGCGTGCATATAAAGAACGTCCAAATCTTACAAAATCATAGTAATCTTTAAACCGAGAGCGTGCATGTAGAAAACGTCTAAATCTTACTTCGTAAGAGAAAGTTATGATTTTTTGAAGTTTCAGTGCAATAATATGGAATGTAGAAAGTGACGTAGAGATCGGTTGATTGTTAGGAAAAATAATCTAAATGAAAATTGAAGGTCTCACACATATGGTTCCATCGGCATAAAGACAGTCGAGAACGGATATCATATGAGAAAGTTATGAATTTTTAACGGACTTTAACAGTCTCAGCTTGTTAAAAATATAACTTTAAAAATAAATTAAAATTATCCGACAGAGTCTAACATGAAAGTTGTATATCTCGTCGAGAGCTTTCTGGGGATATAAAGAACGTCAAAATGGAGCTTGTATGAAGAAATTACCGCATTTTGAAAATCTGGAAATTCGAATGCATATGAAGTGTGTCGCGCGCACTGATGACGTGGCACCACGAGAGGGCGCCACATGGCATGGTCGGGAGCCAGTTCATCTGAGAGACACGTCGACACGGCTCCACAAAAACATGGCATGTGCCTCGATAAGATCATGAGACGTGGTGTATTCTAGAAGAATGCGAGATGAGCGAACGACGACGTGACACGTGGCACGAGGCTGGAGGAGCCAGCAAGGCAACCATGTGCAACGTGCCCTCAACCTTGCACGGCATGCCTCAGCTGGATGGCTATAAATACCTCCAAATTCTTACTCATTCTCTCATAATTCCGTCATATATCTCATTAAACTCTCTAGCTCTCAAGATGGGCTTTCTTCCTAACCTTTAGAATATTTATTATAGTCTCGAGAACTCTAAGGCTGGCGAGAAGGAGTATTGGGTCGAAAATCTGTCTGCATATTTTCTTGGTTTTGGATAAAAGCTCTGTAAGTTAAGCTACACTCTATCACTTTCAGTGTAATTTATATTTATGGTCATATGTCGTTATTATGAACTATAAATAAGATTTATTACTAATTCCAAGTCGTTATACTGATTGACTACATTTGAATTATTGAGGAATGCCTTGTTCCTTTGTAGCTACTTTGCATTGTATACGATCACTAGTGAATATTTATGAGTTTTACAACTATAACAATGTACTTTGGATTGTGGTATATTTATCCCCAAATTTGAACTCTATTATCGTTTTGTGATTTTGATAAGGTACGGGTTTTACATTTGGATATGATTTAAGTTTTCAATCATATTTAAGGTCAACAATGTTTAACCTTGGAGTTGTACTCACTAGGCTCTTGATAGATAGCCTAAACCACTTGTTGATAAACTTTTGCAGGTTAGCAAATTTTGGTAGATGTATCAGAGGATTAGCAGTTGTTCGACATTTAGAAGACTGAGAATGTTGTTCGTAACTTAAATTGTGGTTTTGATATGTTACAGAGACTCACGCATGTTTTACAAATCAAACTTAACTCTATTTTGAAAATTTAAAATTTAGGATCGTTTTCTGTAAACACTACTAGAAAAAAGACCTTTAATGACGCGCTTTTTACGACACGCGATAATTAACGATACGCAAAAGGACGTGCCCTTAAAATAGTGTTATCTCTCCAAAAAATTTAAGTATTTACGTCACGCTTTATTGCGTGCCCTTAATTTAGTGTCTCAAGAAAAAAAATTAAAAACACGGAGGGCGCTTTATCTTAAACGCGCGTCGTCTGTACCTGTCGCTTTATAATTTTAATGAAACGCGCTTTTAGTAGACAAGGGGGGAAATGAAATCCCAAAATTTTGAAAACCCGCCTTTTTTTTCTATCTTCTATCTATCTTTCATCTTCAACCTAACAAGGACGAGCATTGCACTCTTGATTTCCCTAACTGTTTGCGTGCCCTTCCTTTCCCTCTTGTCTCTCTCGGTCGCTACCTAGGGTTTTTATTGAAAGCTTGAATCGATCGACTGAGGTAACCAATGGTCAAGCAAATCGGGAAAGGGTTTTCAGTGAAATATACTGTTACTCTTTGAAATCGGTTCTAATTTTCGTGTCCAACAGCTTTTTGCCACAAAGGGTTTTCAGTGAAAAATCCTATCATCATTGCAGAGGAATTTTCGTGTTGCTTTCCACCATTTGTGCTGGACAAGACCAATTTTCACTAGACCAAGCTTTGAATTGGAAAAAAAATAGTTGTGGTTAAACTTGGTTGTTGGTTCCATTGAAAATATTAAGTCGGAGGTTGTCCTAAAAGTTGAAGGTATTGTTGTTGAACTTATGAAAGGGGGGCCTAAAAGTTGAAGGTATTGGAGTTTTCATAGATATTCATGAATCAAATTCTTCATTTGTTTCTTTTTCTCCCTTTTGAAACTTAAATTCACAAAATTGCAGGATTAGTGGTAAGATTTTGCAATTGGAGAGTGTCACACAGTCAGAAGCCATGAGGAGGCGGTATCGCTACTTGAGCCATTTTTCTTTAACAACCACGTTTCAGGTATGCTTCAAAGCTTGCTTAAATAAACAAAGGAAGCTATGGACCATATTCTTCAGCAGCCCCTGCTGGTTATAACCCTGGTTCAGCTGCCAATTCCACCTCTAATGAAGACCTTGGTGGGTCCCACTCCTAGTTTAAGGAAACTAATGTTTACATCACTGGCCAGCAGGTTCGTTTCATTTTTTCTACTTCACATTTTTAATTTTTAATTTTGTTTTGAGTGCTTGAATCACCCATTATACGGATATATTTTCACAGATAGAATGAAGATGTTAGCCATACTTGTATCAAACTATTATGCACATTTTCTATTTTTTTTTTAAATATTAAGTATCTCTGGGTTATATGAGAAGGAACGGGACATCCTTATTAAGAAACACATGGTTTTCTATTCTACTTCTAATAGTCATTTGTCTACAGAAGCTTAGTTATGTTGGGATTTATTTAATCTTGACAGGTTTATTTAATTAGTATGTTAGTCTTTGTTATTTAGTAAAGTAAATACTTTGGGTCTTCAATTGAATGGGTCATGTGGACCAAGTATTAGGAGCTGGAAAAGGGGAAAAACGTGGGCTTGTTCTCCTTTAGTTGATTTTAGTTTGTTTAGGGTTCATTAGGGTATGTAGGCTATAAAAGCCTTTTATTTTCTGAATAATATGTGCAGCCGTTTGAGTCACAATTACTTCTTCTTCTTCATCATATTCCTCACGTAACAAAAGAAGGTTGAATCTTTGTTTTGCAGTTGACAAAAGAGGGTTCCAACAAGTTATACATAAATGAGTAATTTGTAAATGAGTTTACTCAATTATAACACTTGTTGTTATCTAATTGCAGGTTTCTATTGTAATAGTAAGCGAATATTTTATCACAAGTTGGAGATGCTTAAAAACTTTCAGGTACCACTACTACTACTACAATTCATTATTAAAACCTCGCTATTTTAATCTGTTTTATTTCATATTTTTTATTTGATTTTGATTGCAAGGAACTCGGAGTTTTGTAATCAATTTTATCGGGCTTATTTTGTGCTGATTGTGCAAGAAATATTTGATGTGATGACCGACAGTTTCCATAAACTGGGATTTAACCTGCATATGTTGGTGCTGCAGCACTTATTCTGCCTGGTATGTATATCATCTCTAGTCTACTTTTTATTTGAATCATATGCAAGTATATAGGAGTATAATATATGTTGATGTGGCAAATAATTGTAGGTGGAATCTAGGTCATTAACTGAGCCTTTGTGGGACACGTCAACTGTTTCATATCCGTATCCAAACAACGGGATGTTTGTGAGAGACAGAGAGAGTACACTATTAAGCTTCTTGGTGCCTCTTTTCCAAATATTCCAACATCTGAGGTATAAAAGCTACAACTGCAAGTGATGTTTGTTTATTTATGTTATATTTAGACATCTGATGGATGGATGTAATGTAATTCTTTCAGGTTGCGAAATTTGTGAATGGACTGTGTGCAAACGTGAACCTAATCACTTGACCATTCAGTTATTTCTCAATCTTACTCTGCATCATTCTCTTCCTATGAAAACCCTGAAATGCCTTCAAAGAAACTTCTGTCTTCATTAATGCACAAGCCTTCAATATTAACCGATGATGTAGATGCTGCATCAAAGCAAGATGTATCAGGTCAGCAAGTTTATATTAGTGTTTTTCTACATACAATCATACTTGCCTGCACTTGCACCAAGGATCTACTTTAAACTCAAGCAAAACAAGAACAAGAAAGGAAAGAAAAAACCGGAACAGAGGATAATTACTTGGTGCCAAAGTCTCTTCCTTAATAAGCAAAACAAAGAAGATTCTGAATACAAATAAAGATGCAACACAGACCTATATTTATACTAGACACATAATGAGTTTGACTCTAACACAAAAACTAGGAAGAAACTTAATTTCCTATTTTACCCCTAGAACTAAAAAGCTGTTATTTTTTTATTCATGAGTTGGCATCATGGATATTATATACAATCAGGGCTGGTCCGTTGATTTAGATAGGTAAAATGTTTTTTTTTTATTTTTATTTTTATTATTTTCTTAATTGATGATTTTGAATTGTTTTTTTTTGTTCATGAATTTGGTAGGTTAGATAGCCTAGTTGGGTTGTTTGGAGCAGGATGTCAACCAAGTTCAACTAATGACCCTTTTGGCCTACCAAGAATCTCATATGGTCTTGTTAGTCAACTGACAAATTAAATTAGTCAACTCTTATCTGTTGTCTTTTGATTGATTATAATTTATAGTTGTTGATGGGTGTTTTTTTAGGTCAAGTGTTGGTAGAAAAAGATAGAAACTTGGACTTACAACATGCTTTGGAAGTTGATGCTTCTGTGAAATCTTTGAAAATAGATGTTGTAACAATATGCGAGGTAGACTTATTCTTGTTTCTTGTCATTTGTATTGCATTTGATGATAAGGATTAGGAGGGCCTTTATGTCTTTTTTATAAATCTTTTTATAAAAAAAGATTTATAAATCTTTTTTTATAAATCTTGTTTCTTGTCATTTGCTGCCAAGGTATATATTATTCTTATATAAAATGAAATTGTAAATTTTTATATTCTTTTTTATAAATCTTTTTATATTTTATAAAAAAAAAATTAGGTTGTGGGAAAGGTCTTGCCAGAGCTAAATGGAAAGCTTACTGGAATGGATTTTAGGGTTCATGGTTTGATGGGTTTAACCAACCAAAGATTCTTACGTTATGTTCGACAATTGCCCCTGATACAGGCTCGATGCTCTCAACTAGTCGGCCATCAAATCTTCTGAATACATCAACTGGTATTACATGACTTATTGTTTTAATTTGGAACTTGATTGCTTACTGATAGTTGTTTGTCCCTTTTTCTGGATCAGGTTTAATTTGGATTTCAAGCTCACCAGCATCTCCAAGTAATGAGGGATCCGTTACACTTAAGAATATCAGCTTATCAAGAGCATCACTTGCATTACTAAAAGAAGGTTTCTTGTTAGAACTTTTGTTTTTAAAAACGATAAAAGATGGAAATCAAGCATGAAACATGTAGACTGTAGAGATGTTTTTACATGTAAATTTATATATTGTAAGAAATAGAATTGTAAGACATTAAATTTTATGAAATGGATTATATTTTTTGTATATGATATTTTATTTTATATTGGAGGCATTAAATGCAAATTTAATTTGAAAATTAGTAAATCTATAAAAAATAATTTTTTTTTTAACATTTAAAATTATGATACGCAAACATGCGTGTCATCTTCATTTATGACATGGCCTTTCTTGACAGAGGCTTTCTTGATACGTATTGCGTGTCATTAACACGCGCGTCGTAAGGTTACGACACGCGAATGCGTATCGTCTTCCTTTATGACAGGGCCTTCCTTGATACGCATTGCGTGTCGTAACCGAGCGTCGTAAATGCGCGTCATAAATGCGCGTCGTCTCTCTTTATGACAGGCCTTCCTTGACACGCATTTGCGCGTCATCTGAGCGTTTTACGACGCGCAATAAGCGTCGTAAAAGGCCTTTTTTCTAGTAGTGAAACTAAACTCTAAATTTCTTTTAAAATGTTTTTGTTAAATGTTATTTTCAAATAGCCCATGCAAATAGATGTTTCATTGTGAAAACAACCTTGATACAAGAGGTAAATATAAAAGCTTAATCATCATAATATAATAATTCAATTTTAGCATTCCTTACTAAGTTTATATTCATGATGCTTAAAGAATAAGTCATTACACAAGATCCAACGTAGTGTACAAGAAGAAGAGGAAGAAGCAGAAACATGACTTAATCCATTATTTAGGTGATCCATGTTTAAGATGTACGTGCATTAAGGGGTATAAAATTCTTTGTTGACAACCGACTCCATAAATAACAAAGAATAAGTTAAAGTTAGACTTATTTAAAAAATATCTAAAATGAAAAAATAAATGCAAAACGTAAGGTTTTTTTATGGAATAAACTCAACAGTTGGACATTTGAATGCTACACGTGTTCGCTTGAACTCTACAGTTGGACATTTGAATGCTACACGTGTGTCAACAAAGAGCAACAAAATTTTCACCTTTTCACAGGTGGTCTTTTAGAATATTCATACAAAAAATAAAGATAAAATCCTACGCTCTTTATACATGGACGTGTAATATTAATACTAACGAACATTATACATTAATTATACTAGATTTGATCCCTAATGCAATATTAAAAAAAAAAAAAAAACGTAACTATGAAAAACCAATTAACCCTAATCAAGTTTATATAATTAAGTGATCCTATTGAACTCCTCTCCACATGTGTCCTTTAATCCTTTTTAACATTTGCATGTGTGTGTAATAATTTGGGAGATGGGACAAACATTTCATCATCTCACTTGATGCCCCCACCCACACGTGTGGTTCTTCTTCCAGCTTTTACACCAAATTAGAGGCCCCCATCGACATTCTTCTGTTCAAGACCAGCATATAATATGGGTCTTTGTCAATTGACATCAATCATCACGCCACCCACCAACCCCCACTTAATTTTCTCTTTTGACCCAAACTGCCATTCTATTCTTCATTCTTACTGTTGGGAAGTTGATTATGGTGTCCTCTTCAGCTACCCACCTGCATGCATGGATGGGATGGGATGGGCAATGGGTGTTTTAACTTGTAAGTTTTAGGAAATTAAGTGGTGAAATTACCATTATGCCCTTGAAAAAAATTTGATTTAATAATTACCTGAAGTTGGTAACAAAGTGGTGGAGGAATATGGAAGCTTCGAGTCTGGCCAAATCAAGCCCAGGACAGAGCCTTAGTCCTCCTCCAAAAGGAGTGAAGCAACTGCTGCTACCACTGCTCATGTCCTTATTCTGTACATGTAACACACAAAAAGATTCAATAAATCGAACAACTTTTTTTTTTCTTCGTATAAATTGACCAACATATGAGATGCTAGAAAAAAAAAAAGCTTTATTCAGGATCAAAAAGATAATATAATAATTTTTTAAGTAAATTACTGAAATCGTCACTGTGGTTTGGTCAAAATTGCACGTTTGGTCCCTAACTTTTTTTTTGCACTCGGATCGTCCCTGTGGTTTGATTTTGTTGCGTTTTTCGTCACTGTGGTTTGATTTTGTTGCATTTTTCGTCCCTTACATACATAAAGTTAGGGACCAAACATGCAATTTTTATCAAACCATAGGGACGAAAAACGCAACAAAATCAAACCACAAGGACGATCCGAGTGCAGAAAAAAGTTAGGGACCAAACGTATAATTTTGACCAAACCACAAGGACGATTTCAGTAATTTACACTAATTTTTATTTTTCTTTGGATTGTCATTATCCTTTGCATTTAATCCAAACTGAATCATAATTACAACTCTACCCAAACTTTGGAAAATGTTTATCTAAAACTTAAAATTGCAATATTGTTAATAATACTATAAACAATTAAACATGCACACCCAAACACCCCAACACACAACGTATAGTCAAGGAGGAAAAGTTGTCTTGTTTTTATAGGACACATTGCATGAATCCTATTTGAGCTAGCTATAGGAAAACCTAAAAACAATATGCTTATATAATACTATATTACATTTAAGAAAAAAAAAATTAAAAAAAAATGTTACCTGCCACCTCCAAGGGTTGAACCGGTGAGGTGAGTCATAGTGATTTTCATCAAGATGAACCGATCTGAAATGAGTCAATACACACCATCCTTTTGGTATGAGGTACCCTTTAATCTCCACATCTTTCATAGCCTTCCTAATCACCCCCATTATTATATTTCCCATTCTTAGGGTTTCTGTAATCACCTGTTTATATAATTTCAATATCATTACTAAGTTAATTACTCATGTTTTAGTAAGTACGAAAAATCAATTAACATATATACAGTTTTTTAAAACTTACACTTTGTGTAAATCGCAACGACAGATAATCATCCCAACACAATGGATCTCCGAGCTCCTCTTTACGTTTCTTCAACTCCAAATTTTCCTCCTAATCATCATCATCATAATGTGTACTAATTATGGAATATATATTGCAATAACTTTTAACAGTTAACCTGAACAAAAATGTAAAAGATTGACGTACCTTAAGTTGATGAAGAGCTTTAGGACAATCTGACAAGTATTTGATAGCTAGTGTCATAAGTAATGGCACAGAATCCTCTCCCGGAATCATCAAATCAATCATATTATCAGATATTAATTCGTCTGTTAGCTTTTCACTCTTATCCTTGAGGAGGACATCGGCCACATCTGTTGGATCTTGCGAAACTCCAACATTTTTTATTTTTTTATCGCGAATAATTTGAAGGACCAAATTTAACATTTTTTTCTTTGCTTGTAATGATCGATGAAGTTGAGTTCCAGGTAATTTTATAGGTAATGACATGAGTCCTGCAATGAATTTTTGAAATTGGGTCCTTAAATACTCCATCTCTTCACTGGGATCCAATCCGATTAAAGCTTTAACCAGTACTTGAAATGCGATCTAGAAAATAACAATACAGTAATAATTATTTAATTAGATTACAATAACTATTTCAAATGTGAGCATATGAATATTAAGAAAAACAACTGTAGAAAATGGGGAAATGTAAATGTAATAGCGACGTTTTAAAGGAGTAGGGAACACACGATTAATAAGATGGACCATATGGTGGTGATATTTGTAGACAAAATAAGTAATTTTTAATGATTATGTAACCAATAACAAGGGATGTAATTGCTTTAAACCATAAAAGTGTAAGAGAAAAATCAAAAGTTACATTTACTTTTGTAACTTGCTGTTATTGCTTAAATTTTTTTTCCCCACACTTAGACATCCAAACAAACTACTTTATGGTTTTGCGATTTTGTTTTTTCTTCTCATAATAGGCCAAAATAGTTAACCATCAAGGGTAGGTTTTCACTTGATGTAAAAATGGAGGTTTAATCCAAAAATTAAAAAGAAAGACAAAAAAAACGTCTCAATCTTAACACATGCAATCAAATTTTCACCAAGAAAAGCATTAATAGGGACATAAAATGTCGATTTTCAATGATTTGACAACTCTTTGTGTACAAACAATTTTGCAATTTTGATGAATACAATAAAATAAATTTAAATCTAAACAAATATTAAAAAACAGCCTCATAATGATCATAATTTTTTTGGAAAGGGAAATGATCATGATTAAATATGGAAGGGAAATTAATTAAACTAATCTTTTTGTATGGCTATAAAGTAATGTACATAAAGACAAAAAATAAATAAATAAATAAATAAATAAATAAATCTGTATTAGTTTGTTTTGCACAATGTTCTTGATGTAAAATAATTACATGTGTCAAAGATGACATGCATGTATGATTTAATTTCATCCAATGAACTTAAATTGTTTTAATAAAATTGTGATGTAATGAAATTAATATAAGGATCGAGAGAGCATACATGTTTGGTTTCATCTTGAATGTAAATAGGACGATCTTCATTCCATGTAGCCATGGATTGAAGAAGTAATTTTCGCATGTCAGAAGTGATTTGAGCTTTGAGATATGGCGACTTGAAGAAAGAACCAATGAGGCCATGGATTCTCCGATGCAAGCTTCCATTGATCCTTAAAATCGACGACTCTCCCATCAACTCCGTCAGTGATTTCGGATATGAAGGCACGAAACTGTTGGCATCGCTTTGTAATACAAATTTACTCACTTCTGCATCAGTCGACACGATCGTTGGACTACCAAACAAATGAGATTTGAACACCTTCCCATACCTATCGAAAATTAAATTAATATAATTTGACCAAAACTCAGACTTCAAATTCGAAATTAATTCGTTTTGATCCGAAATTGAGCGAAAACGATAAGCAGAAATGAGTAAAATGCAAAGGAGACATGATCAGCTGGAACTTACAAGAGACGACGTTTATCCATAAACGATTGAGGATGATCGGTGTAACCGCAGGAGATGAAATCTAGGGTTTCACCGATGAAAGGCCATCCCATGGTTCCTAAGAGAATCCTCCTAACCACCACCGACGACGATGGTACAGGCGACGCTATTTTCCATGGCCGGCGCCGGCGATTGTTGATGAAGAAGAAGGTGAAGAAAACGAACACCAGGGCGGAGACGAAGATT